GGGGAGGGGAGGGAGGGGAGGAAAAAAAAAGAGGACGAAGGCGGAGGCCACTCTCTCACACTGGCGAGCCGAAGGGACAGTAGTCCTCGGTGGCCGAGCTGTGGATGGAATTGCCCCGATCATCGACATAGTACTGGCCACCGACGATGAGCCGGGCGCCGGACACCGCCGAGCCGGACGGCCCGTCGGGCGCATCGTCACTGTGGAACTCATCGTCATCGGTGGCGCCCATGTTGGCCAGGGAGCTGTACGAGGCCGAGGTGATGAGGGCCTGGTTCTGGGTGACCCCCTCGGTGATGACATCCGCCTCGTAGATGACCGCCGAGTGGCTGCTCAGGCGGGTGTACTGCGTGGGGAAGGTGTCGGCCAGGTCGGCGTAGCCGGCGTTGTTGCGCTGGCGCGAGCCGTAGTCACTGTGCGAGGCCTCCAGAATGGGCTGGGCCTCGGAGCCGGCGGGCCCGCCGAGGCCGCTGCCCCCGGAGCCCGGGGGCCCGGCAAAGTTGTCCACATACTCCTTGTAGTGGAAGAAGACCGTGATGTTGAGGATGGCGCTGATGAACATGAGCACCGTGAAGGTGGAGTACTGGAGCTGCGCGGCGTTGACCAAATTTTGGAAGTCCTCACTGACGCGATCCATGAACCGGGTGAAGAAGAACCCCCACAGGGCGTGCATGAAGATGTAGAACTTCAGCGCCAGGAACTTGGACCCGGTGCTGTAGGGCTGCAGGACGACGCTGAACACGCGGTACAGCTGGAGCAGGGCCCACATGGCAAAGCCCAGGCTGGTGTACAGGCAGAGGGTCACCACGAGCGTCGGCCAGTTGGTCAGCGACAGGCGGCCCTTCTCATAGAAGCCGCTGTAGTAGAGGGCGCAGACCAGGATCGACAGGAGAGGCCGGATGATGACAAACTGATAGATGAAGATGTGGACAACCTGCATTTTCGAGGGGCAGGAGGGGGCCGAGAGGAGGGGGGGGGGGATGTGGGGGAAGGGGGACCATGGGTTAGAGAGAGAGAGAGAGAGAGAGAGAGAGAGGGGGAGGGGAAGGGGCTGAGGGGGGCCCGGGCCTGTGGCGTGGGGCAAAAGAAAAAAAACGCCGGCACACGCAAACGCAATGGGCCTCTCCGGCCGGCCGCCCCGCGACCCTGTGCGACGCGGACAAGTCGCGCGTACCTTCATGAACTTCTCGCCCGGCGTGACGCGGTACAGGTAGAGGCAGGTCCGGTAGCTGGTCTTGTGCTCGGCCTTGACGCGGACCTGGTCCTTGCCACCGAGGTACCAGTAGATGAGCTTCAGGAACACGAGGATGGTGAGACTCTCGTAGATGTCCAGCGGCACGAGCAGGCCATAGCGAGCCACCGGGAAGAAGGTGATGAGGGCACTGATGACCGCCCACACCGGGACGATACTCATGATGACCAGAATGAGCGTCTGGGTCTTGGGCTGGGTCCAGTGCCGGCGATACTGGCGCAGGTGCATCAGGTACACGGCGATGGTCAGCAGGGCCGCCACACCGGCCAGCACCATGAAGAAGCTGGACACCCGCTCGGGGTCCATCTTGGCGGGGTCGCTGCCGCTGCCGGACACCGAGCCCGATATCGAGGCATCGGTGCTGTCCGACAGGGAGGTGGGCGCCGAGGCCGAGGAGGCATCCTCGAAGCCAAATAAAAAGTTGAGCACCTCGCGGTTGGCGTCGTAGAAGAAGTCGCCGAGGGTGACGGTCATGGTGGCGAGAGGGGCTGCGTGTGCGTGTGCGTGTGAGCTGGGGGCGAGGGACAAACTTGTGGGCAGGGGCTGGACAGGGAGGAGCAGTACAGGGGGATGGTCAGTGGGAAGGACGCCGACGTACCGGATGCAGGGATCCGAGACACGCGTCAGCCGGCGCTCAGAGGGGGGGGGGGGGGGAGGAGAGAGAGGCAGGGAAAAAAAGGGGGGGGGGGGCGGCGGAGGAGGGGCACAAAGGGGACAGAGAGAGAGAGAGAGAGAGAAGGGGGCAGAGGGGCGGGGAGGGAGAGGGGGGAGGAAAGCACGAGGGCCGGGCTGTGACGGACCCACCCGAGCCGAACACCCCCAGACGAGGGCCTCATGAAGTGGCCGCCGAGCCGGGCGGCGGGAGGCGAACCTGGGCCAGGGGGGGGGGGGGGCGGGGGGGCGGTGCGACATGCATGCACCCACACGTCTGCACATCTCTCCTGTGCACACATGCACACACGCGTATGCGAGCGTGTAAGCGTCTGCCGGGGGACACACATACCGATCTCCCTCGGCGACGGCCGCCCCCCCGCTCGCCGCCCTGGCCGGGGCCGGGGGCCGGGCGACCGGGGGCGCCAATCGCTGGCCTGTGTTTCACCTGGCCGACCGGGGGAGGCGCGCATCCCCGACTCCGAGGGAGATGGCCGTGCGGCGCGTGGAGACCCCCCAGCGGGAGGGGACCGGGGGGCGCGCCCGCAACACCGCTCGCTGCGTCGCCCCCTGGCGAACGAGCGCCTAGACACGCGTGCTGGAGCATCCCCGAGCGCGCAAGCCCCCGCCGGATTGAGGCCAACAGGAAACGCGCACACACACACGCCGCATACACGCACACACACACACACACACACACACACACACACACACACACACACACACACGTAGGACAACGGTCGCAGAGCACCGCACAGGGCCCGGCCAGCGTCTGTGCGGCGGCCTTCGCTGGAAGGCTGCCGCTCGCTGGCTTGAGCTCCATTGGGAGAAGTCAGGGACTCGTGGAGTAGCGAGGCCTGGAAAAATAAACAACACGCCCCTCCCCGGCCTCCTCCTCGAGGTCGCGTCCCTGCCTGCGGCCACGCGCTCGAAACGATGTCGGCCCCACACCTGCCTCGCCCGGCATACCGCCCCGGCCTCTTTGCCGGGGGGGGGGGGGGGGGGGGGGAAGGCGTTGAAGGGCCTCTGCCGGGATCCATGACCCTCCTGGCCGGCGGCGGGCAGGACAGCAGGAGCTCACACAACCGCCCGGCGTCCCCGGAACACGGGCGCTCACGCCCCCCCCCCCCCCCTCCGCTGCTCCTGGGCTTCCCGGCCTCCGCGGTGTGTGTGTGTGTGTGTGCGTGTGTGTGTGCCAATGTGCGTGGGTATTCCATCCCCCACAGCCGTGCTTGCTCGAGTCACAAGCTCTTCTTGCCGCCTCTTGGGGGTCTGGTGCGAGGGGAGAGGTCACACTCCTCCGGTCCCCCCCCCCCCAGGCCCTGGAGCACTTCCTGCCGGCGGCGCCCC